GGCTACAGCTTTTGCCCTGCATCCTTGTTTTCTGTTTCTGGATCATTTTGTTTACAGCTGAAATACGAGTTATATAACCTAAGTCCAAAGTGGTGATTAATTTGGGTATTTAAAAATTATTGTGGCTAAATGGAGCATGATTAGTCTTGCTATGAATATCTTTTAGTCTTAAAAATATCAAGTCAAAATGTTTGACATTTTATCTTATATTGTTTAAATAATTTACCATATGATGTGAACTCATTAGGCATGAAATTGATCAGAAGGGAAAGAAAAATTCTGGAAAATGCTGTGTGTGTTATGTAGAAAAGCATATAAAAACAAATATACCTCAACCCTGACTGCAGATAAGAATCTGATGCTAACATCTTCCTTTCATTTGGATGAGAACTGGTAGTGTTTTTTTGTTTTGTTTTGTTTTGTTTTGTTTAAGCCTTTCCAGGTGATTCTAATCTGCAGCGAGGCTTGAAACCCACTATATTAAACTAACTTGCCCCTGATGATGATCTGATGGCATCATTATATCACATGAAGGTCTAGCTGGATTCATGCTCTTTTACATCATTACCTAATATGCGATTGTTTTCCACTTTATTGTCCACTATAAAATGCAGAATTCTGGGCTGTACTCCTAGAGATTCTTATTCAATAAGTCAAAGGTGGTAGGACTTTAAAATTTGTGTTTATAAAAGTTCTACAGGTGATTTTTATGCAGGTCTACAGAGAAGCCTTGCCCTGCCACAACATAGTTTCTGACCTTTAACAAGTCAACCTCTCTGAGCCTTGGTTCCCTTGTTTGTAAATGAAGATTGAAGGTAAACACCTATTCTACCTACCTCACCAAGTTGTCAAATTAAGATCAAATGAAAAAAATTATATGAAAGCTTATTGAAAACTGTAAAGCATTATGAAATATAAGTGATTAAGGTTATTGAGGATTTAAAATTTTTGTTTGAGGATTGTTAATATACACTTCTTGAGATTTGTTTAATTTATGTGTATTTTTCTCTCTCTCNTAAGCATTTTTATAGACCCACTTATTTTATATTTAGAAAATTCCTAAGTGCGTGGTGACTGCTTTGTAGTGAACTTTCATATAATACGAACTAGTTGTGAGATATCATTCTGGTAGCTCTATTAATAAGACAAAATTTCAGAATTAAAGAAATTTTCTATGCAAGGTTTATTTCTCAGACGGACTTTGTAGTTTTATTTCCACTACATGAGAAAAGAACTTTTTTAAACTGCAGGAGAATTTGATAAATAAGCAAGGATATTTTAGCTAATAGAATAAGTGCAACAGAAGAATCCGATGAGTCTATGGAAGGTTCTCTCAGAATTCTATCAAAATAACCTTTATCCAGAGGTATTCAGGATTGGGATTAGCAATGGAATAAAAGCAGAGATGGGCATTTTTTCCCTGTACTGTTGTTTTTATAACTTTTGTAAATATTACTTTTACTGGCTGCATTTTTATAACTTATCCATAAATATGCATGATGGAAAAATTTTATTTGTAGCAATCTTTTCCCATGTAATGGTATTGATTCATACAGAACTTCATGTTCAGATCTTCTCCGTGGAGGCATGTTATAAGATAAGCATCACACAATGTAAGGTTTTTTGTGGTAACCAGAGTTACAAAATGGCAAAATATTTTCTCTGTATTTGTTGTTGTATTTTTCTACAGTGAGATGTGACCTTGCCAAAGCCACCAGACCTTGCTATCCAGGCTCCTACTATAGTGAGTTAATTGTCTGCACTTGCACTGCCCAGTAGCCAATCGGCTACAGCTTTTGCCCTGCATCCTTGTTTTCTGTTTCTGGATCATTTTGTTTACAGCTGA